GGTGCATTGTCCATTACTAGCAGGCACTTGAGATCCAATTTCTTTTCCAGGAGGTAATTCTTCACACTAGGGCCAAACACTTCATTGAACCACTCGACGAAAATTTCCCTTGTGACCCATGCCTTACTATTAGATTTCCAAAACACACAATTTACTCTTCATAACATTGTTTTTCCTGAACACACTGGGATTTTCAGAATGGTACACTAGTAATGGCTTCACTTTGAAATCCCCACTAGCATTAGCACAGAACATGAGCATCAGCCTGTCTTTCATAGGCTTGTGTCCTGGCATTTCCTTTTCCTCCTGTGTAATGAAGGTCCTCTGGCATTTTCTTCTAAAAGAGGCCTGTTTCGTCACAATTGAACACTTGTTCAGGTTTCAGTCCTTCACCCTCTATGTACTCCTTGAATTCATGCACATATTTTTCAGCCACCTTGTTGTCCGAACTGGCACCCTCACCATGTCTTACCACACTGTGTATGCCACTACGGTTCTTAAATCTCTCAAACCAACCTTTGCTGGCCTTAAATTCACAAATATCAGTACTCGTTGCAGGCAATTTCTTTACCAGATCATTGTGCAACTGCCTAGCATTTTCACAAATAATCGAAGTCATAAGAGTATCTCCTGCTAATTGTTCTCATTTATCCACACCAATAATAACTTCTCAACATCTTTGAGTACTGGTGATCTCATTTTTGTCAGCATATTTACCCCCTTTGCAACAACAGCGTCCTTGATTTCCTCTTGGCCACGATGGAACATATGGTTGTGTAGGGTTTCTTGTACATCCTGGCCAGTTCGGCTGCACTTGTGCCACTTTCATATTGTTCAGTGATGTTTTTCTTAAATCCAATTGTATTTCTCACCTTCTTTACCACAGGCTTGGCACTAGGAGCTTTCTTTGGAACCATGTTAGCTTATTTAGTACTTGCAAGCACTAAAATGAGTGAAATATTATGAAATATTTCATAGGAGCACGTGAGGGGACCTTCGCTCAGTGGTAAACAATGCCACACTGGCTGGGTAGGGAGGCCGCCCCGGCTCACACCGTGCGTACGCGTCCCGGACGACCTACTATTCGCGAGTCAACCTACGATTAGCGAGCCCATGTTTATACGAAAATATCCATATGATTTCCGAAATCTGTGATTCCCGAGAACTACGATTATCGAGGGACCACTGTACTTGCAATATCTGCCACATTGCTCCCCTATCCACTCTATCATATGCCTTTTCTAAATCCATAAATGCAATAAAAACTTCCCTACCTTTATCTAAATACTGTTCACATATATGCTTCAATGTAAACACCTGATCTACACATCCCCTACCCACTCTGAAACCTCCTTGCTCATCTGCAATCCTGCATTCTGTCTTACCTCTTATTCTTTCAATTATAACCCTACCATACACTTTTCCTGGCATACTCCGTAAACTTATTCCTCTATAATTTTTACAATCTCCCTTGTCCCCTTCCCTTTATATAAAGGGACTATACATGCTCTCCACCAATCCCTAGGTACCTTCCCCTCTTTCATACATTTATTAAACAAAAATACCAACCACTCCAACACTATATCCCCCCCTGCTTTTAACATTTCCGTCATGATCCCATCAGTTCCAGCTGCTTTACCCCCTTTCATTCTACGTAATGCCTCACGTACCTCCCCCACACTTACATTATGCTCTTCTTCACTCCTAGAAGATGGTATACCTCCCTGGCCAGTGCATGAAATTACTGCCTCCCTTTCTTCCTCAACATTTAAAAGTTCCTCAAAATATTCTCGCCATCTACCTAATACCTCCATCTCCCCATCTTCTAACTCCCCTACTCTGTTTTTAACTGACAAATCCATACGTTCCCTAGGCTTTCTTAACTTGTGTAACTCACTCCAAAATTTTTTCTTCTTTTCATTAAAATTTCTTGACAGTGCCTCTTCCACTCTTATCATCTGCTCTCCTTTTGCACTCTCCACCATTCTCTTCATCTTTCTTTTACTCTCCATATCCTCTGCTCCTCTTATAACACTTTTGCTTTGTAAAAACCTCTCATAAGCTAACTTTTTCTCTTATCACACCCTTTACTTCATCATTCCACCAATCATTCCTCTTTCCTCCTGCCCCCACCCTCCTATAACCACAAACTTCTGCCCCACATTCTAATACTGCATTTTTAAAAGTATTTCAACCCTCTTCAACCCCCCCACTACTCATCTTTGCACTAGCCCACCTTTCTGCCAATAGTCGCTTATATCTCACCCGAACTTCCTCCTCCCTTAGTTTATACACTTTCGCCTCCCTCTTACTTGTTGTTACCACCATCCTCTTGTCCCATCTACCTCTTACTATAACTGTAGCTACAACTAAATAATGATCCGATATATCAGTTGCCCCTCTATAAACATGTACATCCTGGAGCCTACCCATCAACCTTTTATCCACCAATACATAATCTAACAAACTACTTTCATTACGTGCTACATCATACCGTGTATATTTATTTATCCTCTGTTTCATAAAATATGTATTACTTATTACCAAATCTCTTTCTACACATAGCTCAATTAAAGGCTCACCATTTACATTTACCCTTGGCACCCCAAATTTACCTACTACTTATTCCATAATATTTTTACCCACTTTAGCATTGAAATCCCCAACCACAAGTACTCTCACACTTGGTTCAAAACTCCCCACGCATTCACTCAACATTTCCCAAAATCTCTCTCTCCTCTGCACTTCTCTCTTCTCCAGGTGCATATACACTTACTATAACCCACTTTTCACATCCAACCTTTATTTTACTCCATATAATCCCTGAATTAATACATTTATAGTCCCTCTTTTCCTGCCATAGTTTATCCTTCAACATTAGTGCTACTCCTTCTTTAGCTCTAACTCTATTTGAAACCCCTGACCTAATCCCATTTATTCCTCTCCACTGAAACTCTCCCACCCCATTCAGCTTTGTTTCACTTAAAGCCAGGACATCCAGCTTCTTCTCATTCATAACATCCACAATCATCTCTTTCTTATCATTTGCACAACATCCACGCACATTCAGACTTCCCACTTTGACAATTTTCTTCTTCTTATTCTTTTTAGTAATCTTTACAGGAAAAGGGGTTACTAGCCCATTGTTCCCTGCATTTTAGTCGACTTTTACAACACGCATGGCTTACGGAGGAAAGATTCTTATTCCACTTCCCCATGGATATAAAAGGAAAAGTAATAAGACCAAGAACTATTAAGATAAAATGAAATAAAACTCAGATGAGTGTGTATAAATAAACGTGTACATGTATGTGTAGTGTGACCTAAGTGTAAGTAGAAGTAGCAAGACGTACCTGTAATCTTGCATATTTATGAGACAGACAAAAGACACCAGCAATCCCACCATCATGTAAAACAATTGCAGGCTTTCGTTTTACACTCACTTGGCAGGACGGTAGTACCTCCCTGGGCTGTTGCTGTCCACCAACCTACTACCTATAACATTCTAGTAATTCATTCTACTAATTTTTTTTTTTTATTAACACGTCAGCCGTTTCCCACTGAAGCAGGGCGACTCGAAAAAGAAGAAACACTTTTATCATCACTCACTCCATCACTGTCTTGCCAGAGGCATGCGTACACTACAATTCAAAAACTGTAACATATCTCCACCCCTCCTTCAGAGTGCAGGCATTGTATACGTACTTCGTACCTCCAGGACTTGAGTTCGGCTAACCAGTTTCCCTGAATTCCTTCATAAATGTTACTTTGCTCACACTCCAGTTACACATAGTCACAAAAACCACTTGCCTCCACTCACTCCTGTCTAACACATTAAGACACTCTTCCTGGAAGTCTAAGCCCCCTCGCACACAGAACTTCCTTTACCTCTTCCCGCCAACCTTTCCTTGGATGACCCCTACCCTACTTTTCCACTCCAGATTTATGTGCCCTCCATGTCATTCTGTTTGGTTCCATCCTTTCTAAATGTCTGAACCACCTCAACAACCCCTCCTCAGCCCTCTGAATAATACTTCTAGAAATGCCACACCTCCTCCTAATCTCCAAGCTATGGATATTCTGCATAATATTTACACCACACATTGCCCTCAGTCATGACATCTCCACTGCCTCCAGCCTTCTTCTTGTTGCAACATTCACCACCCATGCTTCACACCCATATAAGAGCATTGATGCTACTATACTCTCATATATTCCCCTCTTTTCTTCCATGGATAATGTTGTCTCCACAGACTCCTTAGTGCATCACTCGCCTTTTTTTCCTCCTCAGTTCTGTGGTTCACCTCGTCTTTCATAGACCCCATCTTCTGACAAGTCCACTCCCAAATATGTTCATTTCTTCCATACTCCCTCCCTCCAGTCTGATATTCAGTCTTTCATTACCTAATTTTTTTTATCATCACCTTGCTCTTTCCTATGTTCACTTTTAATTTCATTCTTTTACATACACTCCCAAATTCATCCACCAACCTCTGCAACTTCTCTTCAAGAATTTTTCAAAAGCACAAGTGTTATAAGCAGAAAGCAACTGTGTTGAATTCTTTTTATTTTAATCCCACGCCTCTTGCCAACACCCGACCATTTGCTTTTCTTACAACACATCTATAAATATATTGAACAGCCATGGTGACATTATGCATCCCTGTCTAAGGCCTACTTTTACTGGGAAATAATCTCCCTATCTACATACTCTAACTTGAGCCTCACTATCCTCATAAAAACTCTTTACTGCTTTTAGTAACCTACCACCTATTCTAGTGATTTTACTTATTGTTTTACAGAGCGTTAGTTTGTACAAATAATTTTTACTTTGGTTTAATTATAATGTGTGTGTGTGTTTGGTATATGTACATTTCTATGTTAAATTTACTAGTATGTAGAGTACTAAATGATCTTTTCCTACCAGCAATCTGTAAATTTTAGAAATTCCTTCCTCAGAGCATTCTTAACTCATTTTTGTGTTATTGTGACTTTTGCAGGTGGAACACAGCAAACATTTGATCCTACATTTCTTCATCAAAGAAATAACTCTTAATCAGTTCATTACTCTAGAGAGAAAGTGCCCAACAGTACCTGAATATGGGAATGAGGTGAGATGTACAAATTACTCTTGTTTTGAAGCAAAAAACTTGTATACATGACACTATTTCATATAGAAATTTGTTTTCCTAGTACTGTATATTTAGACTAAATTTTTACATACCATGGATTGTGGATCAACTTAATGTTACAGTGTGTTACCAAAAAAAATTACTGCTTTAGAAAGTCATCATTATCATCATCAGTTTTTCACTTTATTCATTGAGGTAGAGCCACTCACTGTTACATTACCAGTTATCATAAGATAATTTGGCTATTGTACTAGAGTATTAAATAGGGTAAATGGATAACTAGGGCAGTGTAATAAAAATAAAGATAAAAGGGCATTACCTTCAATGACTGAGTTAAGCCACTAGGTAAAACAAACCACTGCTGAATGGCAGTTCAGTGAGAGGTAAAAAGCAAAGAAATTAGATATCAAAGTTAACTCTAATAGCACTACAACAATTACAGGTAAGATTATAAGGTGGTGTGGGATTACCAAAACTATTATCCAGAGAGCTGAGGAGAGGTTATTGAGATGGTTTGGACATGTAGAGAGGATGGAACGAAATAGAATGACTTTGGGAGTGTATAAATCTGTAGTGAAGGGAAGGCGGGGTAGGGGTCGGCCTAGGAGAGGTTGGAGGGAGGGGGGTAAAGGAGGTTTTGTGTGCAAGGGGCTTGGACTTCCAGCAAGCGTACGTGAGCATGTTAGGAGCAAATGGAGACAAATGGTTTTTAGGACTTGACGTGCTGTTGGAGTGTAAGCAAAGTAACATTTATGAAGGGATTCAGGGAAACTGGCAGGCTGGACTTAATTCCTGGAGATGGGAAGTACAGTGCCGGCACTCTGAAGGAGGGGTGTTAATGTTGCAGTTTTATAACTGTAGTGTAAGCATGCCTCTGACAAGACAGTGATGGAGTGAATAATGAAAGTTTTTCTTTTTCGGGCCACCCTGCCTTGGTGGGAAACGGCCAATGTGTTTATAAAAAAAAAAAAGATTAATAAAACTGGCCATGCATTTAATAAAAAAAATAAGATTAATAAAACTGGCCATGCATATAACATTCCCAGGAAATCCTGTACATGATTAGATCTTCTTCCTCCCTCCCTACTAATCTCTGCATATTCCTCCATTAGTACATTCCTGCAGCACTGTATGACCCTTCCAGGTTTAGCACTTAGTTTGATTATATTATTATTATAACTAATTAGAGCAGGCTCCAGGAAAATAAAACTACTACAGCTTCTAAGTGGCAAACTTCAGTAGATCCCAGGATAACCCCCCACAGAAACATCAGCTTATCTTTGCAAAACACCCTCCAGCAACTGACTGCAACATTGAAACATGGCAGTAATATATTATATTTATAAAATGCTCCCTCATGGCCTCACTGTTGCCATATAACAGCCAAAACATGTCTCAAAAGATGTCCCTTGGCTCGGTTGGCAGCACACTCAACTTGCATACTGAGTGCCTGTGGTTCATTCCTCGGCATGAGTGTAAACATTGGGCATGTTTCCTTACACCTGCTGTGCCTGTTCGCCTAGCATTAGGTAGGTATCTGGTTGTTAGCTGACTATTGTGGGCCATATCCTAGGGGACAAGAATAAACCACCCCAATGGGAATAAGACAGACAGTCCCTGATGATGCACTGACTTTATTCTGTTAAACTGGGTAGCTAACCTTCCAGGTTAAAAATCCGAACAAAATCTTACCTTGTCTTTACAATAAGGCAGAGTAACATGACTTCTTCAGTCATGGGGTCAGTTAGGAATGCAGAGGACTTCATACAACTCCATTTCATCAAAACAAATTACAGCTGCCAGAAATGTGCAATTTAAATAAAATAATACTACGTATTTATTCCTAATGATTACTGATACAGTATTACACAAGATGGAGTCTTGCAGAATGCTATAAAATTACAGAGAATCACATTAAATTACACTGAATGACCTTGGTGGGTTTATCGATCAGTTCTGATTGTAATAATTATAATAATTACGCTAAATAACTGTTTTGTAATGGGTGATGTTTAAACACCATTTCAGCAGTTAGTTTCAGATTTTGATCAGGTCTGGGAATGAATTGCTATGTTCCCATACTCTTCCGTAACTTTACAGTGTTACTTAAATGCTCCCTGTTTTAACACAACTAAAATACAATTACCAGTGCTTGTCACATTAATACAATAATAGAATATAGCAAAAGATATTATACTACTGAATAAGCAGATCAGCGATCTTGCTAGCAAGGCCGAAAGCTGATTACCTCATAATACCACTCAAAAAAGAATGTAAAAGTAATACCCCCTTTTTTTTTTTTTTTTTTGTAATACCTTTCATACTCCATTGCAGCATGAGAGATTATTACCACCATACCCTGGTTCTTAGGCTACATGTAAGGACCCCTTAACAAAATGCTAATCTCTTATTAACTCCTAACAGACTACTTGCAATCCTGTTCACTATCACTTTATCTGAGTTATTCACATGCATAACATGTTTTCTATCATATTTATAGCATCTGCCCTTTGTCTTGGCTTTCCTCCTACCCTCAGCTTTGTTTGAATATACCTTCTGCATTATTCCTTTATTTGATATAAGCATAGTGTCATAATATATGCTCTAATTCTCGTCATTAGGAGGCAGTTTTTTTCATTCACACTTGCTTTTATATTTCAGGTATTTGGCACAGTGCGTGTTCCCCTGTATACGATGCAGAATATGTACAGTGGATTGCCAGCCTTCCTGAACAACAGGTTTGTAGGCACAGCAAAACAGCAGCTGCTCTTAGCTATGTATCATGTCAAAATTATGACTGAAGCAGAAATTAATGATGTCATATATAGGAGTAATAATCTTAAATTAAGCCCTTATAGAATGTAGCATGCCATATTTCCTGTATAATAGACAGAGTATGAATATGGGAATAATATATATTAATGTTAACTAGAGTGGTTTACTTATTTTCACCTATTTCAAGTAGTGTGGGTTTGATTTAAGATGGAATAATACTTCATATGAATAAAATACTAACCCACGCAGTAGGAAATTGCATATACAGGAGTATTTTCATTTTGCTTTCAGAGTGCATGTACAGTAATATTTGTCTTGTAGTGCTCTTTATGCTAAAATTATTTGAGCTCTGAATATAAATGTACTAGTAAGTAGTGGAAATATGTTATACAATGCCTTATTGTTAAAGGTCAGCTTGTTAATTTGACTAAAGATCAATTAAAAATTATACCAGCCATATGGAAAGCAGTAAATGTTAGTTGTTTTTATTTACTGTTAATTCTCAAACAGCTCTGCATATGATGTATAGTAGTCATTTGTCCTCTTATGTAGTATACCACAATGTAATCAGGACATCAGGTGTGCTGCACAGTTACAAAAAATTACACCATGTATATTTGTTAGACTTTAGAAGCAAAGTTCACTGTGACATAAATCATTTGACAAGTGAGAAATATTTTTGCCTGAAATCATTATTTCTGAACTATGTACATTACAAATGCTAGAGCTATTTTCTCTGCAGTACTTCTAACAGTTAGTCACTTCATTTGTGCAACAATTTGGTGCATTTTGAAGGATAGCTTTGGAATTCTGGAAGATGATGGTAAAACTCTTCTACAGTCACCCTGGTCATCCTTTGGGTGTTGCTATAAAGTTATATAACCTCATCTCATTGCTCACGTTGATGGTTGATGTATGTTTAGTTTATTTAGTTAACACCTCTGAAGGAAATAATAAATATTAAGCAACTGTTTTTCTCATTTGTCTCAGTTTTGTGTCACAGAGTACTGTGTATGTACTTGTAGCACTTAAGAAGTGCATATATGTAATGTGGCATTTTTTCATACTGTGAAATAAAGAATTGTCTATTAGCTTATCTATCCAAGCCGGGTTTCCTCACTCATTTTCATGTATGTTTAAAGGTTATACAAATAACTACTAAAGAATTTGCACTGGTTTAGAAATAGTCAAAAGTAGGATAACTTTAAATTATTTTAACAGCCATATTAGAACCTGGGGTAACACAGTATAAAGTCAGCATTATTGACTAGGTTGGTCATGTCCTGGTTTTGACTTTAAGGCTATTTTTGGTAGCAATGATAGCTATGAGCATAGTTTCAAGTGAAACATTATACTGGAGCAAGGAGCTGGTAACCCCTTCTCCTGTATATACAGTGGACCCCCGCATAACGATTACCTCCGAATGTGACCAATTATGTAAGTGTATTTATGTAAGTGCGTTTGTACGTGTATGTTTGGGGGTCTGAAATGGACTAATCTACTTCACAATATTCGGTCAGTACTGGCACCTGAACATACTTCTGGAGTGAAGAAATATCGTTAACCGGGGGTCCACTGTATTACTAAATTTGAAAGGAGAAACTTTTGTTTTTCCTTTTGGGCCACCCCACCTTGGTGGGATACAGCCAGTGTGTTGAAAGAAAGAAATGTATGAAAGAGGGGAAGGTACCTAGGGATTGGCAGGGAAGGGGGATAAAAGAGATAGTAAAAATTATAGAGGAATAAGTTTACTGAGTATACCAGGAAACGTGTACGGTAGGGTTATAATTGAAAGAATTAGAGGTAAGACAGAATGTAGGATTGCGGATGAGCAAGGAGGTTTCAGAGTGGGTAGGGGATGTGTAGATCAAGTGTTTACATTGAAGCATATATGTGAACAGTATTTAGATAAAGGTAGGGAAGTTTTTATTGCATTTATTGATTTAGAAAAGGCATATGATAGAGTGGATAGAGGATCAATGTGGCAGATGTTGCAAGTACATGTATATGGAATAGGTGGTAAGTTACTAAATGCTGTAAAGAGTTTTGATGAGGATAGTGAGGCTCAGGTTAGGGTGTGTAGAAGAGAGGGAGACTACTTCCCGGTAAAAGTAGGTCTTAGACAGGGATGTGTAATGTCACCATGGTTGTTTAATATATTTATAGATGGGGTTGTAAAAGAAGTAAATGCTAGGGTGTTCGGGAGAGGGGTGGGATTAAATTATGGGGAATCAAATACAAAATGGGAATTGACACGGTTGCTTTTTGCTGATGATACTGTGCTTATGGGAGATTCTAAAGAAAAATTGGAAAGGTTAGTGGATGAGTTTGGGAGTGTGTGTAAAGGTAGAAAGTTGAAAGTGAAGAGTAAGGTGATGAGGGTATCAAATGATTTAGATAAAGAAAAATTGGATATCAGATTGGGGAGGAGGAGTATGGAAGAAGTGAATGTTTTCAGATACTTGGGAGTTGACGTGTCGGCGGATGGATTTATGAAGGATGAGGTTAATCATAGAATTGATGAGGGAAAAAATGTGAGTGGTGCGTTGAGGTATATGTGGAGACAACGTTATCTCTGGAGGCAAAGAAGGGAATGTATGAAAGTATAGTAGTACCAACACTCTTATATGGGTGTGAAGCTTGGGTTGTGAATGCAGCAGCGAGGAGGCGGTTGGAGGCAGTGGAGATGTCCTGTCTAAGGGTAATGTGTGGTGTAAATATTATGCAGAAAATTCGGAATGTGGAAATTAGGAGGTGTGGAGTTAATAAAAGTATTAGTCAGAGGGCTGAAGAGGGGTTGTTGAGGTGGTTTGGTCATTTAGAGAGAATGGATCAAAGTAGAATGACATGGAGAGCATTTAAATCTGTAGGGGAAGGAAGGCGGGGTAGGGGTCATCCTCAAAAAGGTTGGAAAAAAGGGGTAAGGGAGGTTTTGTTGGTGAGGAGCTTGGACTTCCAGCAGGCGTGCATGAGCGTGTTCGATAGGAGTGAATGGAGACGAATGGCATTTGGGACCTGACGATCTGTTGGAGTGTGAGCAGGGTAATATTTAGTGAAGGGATTCAGGGAAACCGGTTATTTTTATATAGCCGGACTTGAGTCCTGGAAATGGGAAGTACAATGCCTGCACTCTAAAGGAGGGGTTTCGGGATATTAGCAGTTTGGAGGAATATGTTGTGTATCTTTATATGTATATGCTTCTAAACTGTAGTGTTCTGAGCACCTCTGCAAAAACAGTAATTATGTGTGAGTGAGGTGAAAGTGTTGAATGATGAAAGTATTTTCCTTTTGGGGATTTTCTTTCTTTTTGGGTCACCCTGCCTCGGTGGGAGACGACCGACTTGTTAAGGAAAAAAAAAATGTACAAGGCATACAAGCCTAGCTGGCATCTACTGTATAGAAATTCCCTTGTTATGCTGAGCATTTTGGGCAGATTAGGTCAGTTGTGTCCTAGGATGTGACCCACACCCAGATACCCACTTTACTGATGGGTGAACATAGACAACCGGTGTAAGGAAACACGTCCAGTGTTTCCACCCCTTTGCTGGGAATCGAACCCAGACCCTCACCATGTGAAGTGAGAGTTTTTGCCACCAGGCCATGGGGCACCAGTAGTAGTAATATTTAAGAGGAATGGGTTGGAGTATTAACCCCTAAACGGTCCAAATGTATATATACGTTCTCTCCCCCAGTGCCCCGAATATTTTGAAAAATAAAAAAATCGCTTTTTTTTTTATTGAAATAGAGACAAATTTTCTAAGTGTTATAGGATTAAAATAAAAAAAATTAGGGTCAGTACTTACTGAGATATGAGGCTGCTAAGTTTGCACTTAATGCTCACCTGATGGCAACATCAACTCCTGCTGCTTAAAATGTTGCTGATATACCATTTTTTCTCATTTCTATATATTATATTATATAGTTTTTATGTTCTTATAATTACAATTTATTGTAGTTTTTGGCATTTCATAACCAATCTTTGTTCTGATACTAATATTAGGTGCTGAAATTGTACTCAAATTGTCACAAACACATTGACAGGTGGACATTTACACATGCCTTGGTCATTTACTATTGTCTAGGAATATATACAAAGTATTTATAGGTCCCAACAATGTTTTGTATACACGGGAGTATTGAAGAAGAAGGAAGGAGGAGGAAGAAGGAGGGCAGTGATAAGATGAGATATGGGACGACATTTGATGGGTGCCAGCGAGGGTGCAGAGATAAGAGGTGATAGTGCAGAGATAAGATGAGATAAGCTATGACATTTGATGGACGCCAGCGAGGGTGCAGAGATAAGGGATGACATTTGATGAGCTCGTATCTCTATCTCTGATTATCTCTCTGTCTGCTTGTCTCTTTCCGTCTCTCTGCTTGTCTCTGTTCTGTCTGTCTCAGAGAGAACCACTGTAAACCAACAGGTATTCTTATGCATTATATCTACAAGCACAGTATAGCACTTTGGATTTTTTAGGTTATCCTAGGTAATTTACACTATGTATAATTGTATTTGTGTGTACCTGTGAGATAGATAAAAAGAGATAGAGACAGATAGACAGAGACAGATAGAGACAGACAGACATAGAGAAAGACAGACCCTAAACTTGGGGTTAACATCACTTTTCTTTTCAAAGGGGAGTGTTAATATGACATTACATCAGTGAATCCTTGGTGTTTGCCACTGTTTGCTCGAGCTGGTGCTCAGTTTAACTGGCACTCCCACAAGGTACTAAGTGGTCCCAGATTTTTTTAATATGGTGCACACTGAGTGTTAAGGCCCATTCTATGGTGACCAGGCATCTCAGGCCAGTAGTGCCAAATTTGGAGGCAGGAAAATTAAAACGTATATACGTTTGGGGCGCTAGCGGTAAGAACGTATATATACGTTTGGACCGTTTAGGGGTTAAAGGAAATGAAAATTTTGCCTAAAAGCAAAGTTGATTCTGCTACTTCAGCAAAAATCAAAGAATTACACTTGCATCATACATTTTTCCTATACAGATTCAGTATGGCCCCATTGAACTGGGTCTAAATTCGTATTGATGATTAAATATATTATGTTTGATTATATACATATAAAGTTGGTTCTAGATTTTTCCCAAATATTTTTCTAGTAGGTATATACAGTATATTTTTTTTTTTTTCAACAAACCGGAGTCCGAAGACTCCATCTTTGTGGACGGGTGATTCTGGCCAATTTGGAAAAATATAGGAAGGTATAAGATTAATGTATTGTAGTTTACTGAAAAAGTGTAGCAAATGGGTGGAGATGATACTTAAGTAGCTTTCTTATATGTAATGGTAAATATTTCAGCCAAAATTTTTGAGCAGTTTTATTGCAGAGTTCATTTCAGAGTGTATGGTCAGAGAGAAGTATAAAGAGTCATGGTATGTTGCTGAGCACATTGTTACTTACAATGGTTTGGGTCTCTGGAAAATTGTTTGCTAAATTAGTCACAATGGATGTGAAGCAGCTGTCTATTTTGTGCTAGTATCTGAGAGTGAAGTTTCATAGTCTGGTGAGTATTTATTTTTTTATTATTAGATTCCAAGTTTTTTACGTATCCTCTTGTTTCATTAAATATGTTGGAGAAAAGTAGGTTTATTGGGTTGTTTTTAATCAGACTGGTATTGGCCAATGTTGCAGAGTATCTGTTCAGTGCTCATTTAGCATCAGGTGGTACAATTTGCACAATTACTATATTTCTTTAATTTACAGTGGAGCCTCGGTTTTCATCATTAATTTGTTCGAGAAAATCTGACGAAAACCAAATTCAACGAAAACTGAAGCAATATTTCCCATAAGAAATAATGTAAATCCAATTAATCCTTATTTTTTGTTAATACCCAAAAGCATTAACAAAAAATACATTTTATAGAGAATAACTATACTTTTACATACAGAAAAAATGAGAAATAAATATAAATGACTAATGAAATGGATAAATGAACATTTAACATCACTTTTACCTTTATTGAAGACTCTTGTTGGCGTATGAAAGATGGCGAGGAGGGGAGAGGGAGGAGAGGTTATCTCTACCACCATCACTACCACCCTCTGCCGACGAGAAACAAAGCCAGACTGACT